AGAGGCAGGGTTTAAGGCAATGAGTGGTCGTTTGATTAATAGAGGGACCGAGAGAGAAGTGGACTTCTAATAGCATGCAATTTTTTTCTTTACCAATATTAATACACGAGTTTGAATAAAAATAATGTGCACATATCACTTTTTTTCTTTTTTTATCAACAAAAGAACACTTTATTGATGAAAATCAATGTACATATACAACATTGGAAAAATATCATAAAGAAAAGACATGTGCTTCAAACATCATGGTTGCACTCACCAATCCTAACTAGATTAGCATCAGAAAGCAAGCCCAATCATACGCAAGTACAAACCAAACAATTGACGAGACACCAACCCCAACCCCAATCAAAAACAAACTAAAAAACAAAATCAAAAACCCACTCCAATACATTACAACCACCCGAATCACCACATTGCCGCTTGATGAGTGATGGTAGAAAAGAAGCAAATCCAACTGACTGAAGACCACACTGCTCAAGACATAACACATCTCCCATCCTAACAAACCAGCCCCATAACTTTCCCGGATTTAAACAAAGAAATCCTAATATGCTTCTAGTACCGAAACAGCCAAACATTCAAAGTGAAATCCTAATCTGCTGCAGCTGGAACACAAAATTTGACATCAAGAACTCTTTGAAATTAGATTTAGCCTTAACCCAAAATGCCAACATAATCAGTTTAGGCTAAATATGATTAAAGACTAATAAGTCATTTCTCGTAGACCAAATTGTCCAAATAATAGCAAACGGTAATGCTTCCCAAATCACTCTTTACTTTTTCCTTACTCGAACACCTTGCCACCAATCAAGCAAAGAAGTGACAGAATATGGAAACACCCATGTCTCACCCCACCAATTAATACAATCAACAAACATTCTCCATGACGTATAACGATGAAGCACACCCATAAAAGTGACACAATCCTTGATTTGGATCGACTAGAACACCAATTTTAAGCAACAAGTAAGTCACCTTCAACCTTCCCTTCCACATCAGCCACCGAAAAGGTTTGCACTTTATAAGGGCAAGCATTTCTCCAAATCAATCTCAAAACGTTCACCAATGCTCCTAAGTGGTAACAAACCAGTCATAAACACAATTCACAGAAAAATAATTCGAAGAACTCCCCATCCATATGAACCGATCATCATACCAACGTAAGGTGGTGGCAGTGATGCTAACTGATTGTGAAACAGCATAAAATCATCTTCTTTCAATGGTCTAAGTGCCCTTCCATACAAATCCTCTCTACTTGCCAGATCCTTCATCTATTCAAGAAATCATGCACTGAATCCTCTTTATATCTATACAGACTAAATAGTCTTGGAAAGACCTCCCTCAACACCTGTGAAACTAACCATCTTACCAAAAAGATAATGATTTACCATTCCCAAGAGAGAACTTGATATTCAAAACAAAAAAATTAAATAAAGCCGGACATCGACTTCTAACTTTCATGATATCTTTCCAAATTCAAGATGAAATATAGGAAGATGATCCATAAGGTAACCATTATCTGCAACCAACAATAGTCTTGTTGCGTAAAACATGTCTCCAAAGAAAATTCCTCAATGTACCAAAGCGCCACCACAATTTGATTAACAAACATTCATTCATCACTCTAATTTTCCTAATTCCTAGACTTCCATTATCTTTACTTACTGTGACATTATCCCATTTCACTGAATGCACCTTCTTCCTTAGATCATCCTCACCCCAAAGAAATCGAGCTTGAATTTTATCAATCCCTCTTGCAACACTTTTCGGCAAAATCAAGCCTAATAAGCGGTCCCTTCTTCCGTCGATCAATTATTTCGCTCGCAATCAATACTCCATCAGTAATATTTCTCCCTCCCAAGAATGCAAATTGAGAATCATCAATTACTGAGGTTAAAACCTTTTTCAGGCGCATTGAAAGTAACTTGGCCAACACTTTGTAGAGACACCCAATCAAACTTATGGGTCTACAATCCCCAAGTCCCACTTGATTCTCCATTTTAAGGATAAGTTCCAAAGAAATCGAGCTTGAATTTTATCAATCTCTCTTGCAACACTTTTCGGCAAAATCAAGCCTAATAAGCGGTCCCTTCTTCCGTCGATCAATTATTTCGCTCGCAATCAATACTCCATCAGTAATATTTCTCCCTCCCAAGAATGCAAATTAAGAATCATCAATTACTGAGGTTAAAACCTTTTTCAGGAGCATTGAAAGTAACTTGGCCAACACTTTGTAGAGACACCCAATCAAACTTATGGGTCAACAATCCCTAAGTCCCATTTGATTCTCCATTTTAAGGATAAGTTCCTTGGCAATAATAACATTGGTATAGTGTGGTATGACATTTTTTTTAAAAGGACAATTATCAAAAGCCTTGAAGAAGTCCTTGTAATTTTGTTAAATATTCACGGAGATTAATTTAATTTGCTCTCGACTTTAACACTAATGGTAAATTAGTAAAAGGTCAAGTTAATCTGATGCGCCAAGCAAGAGAGGTCAATGCCATTTTAAAAACTTAAAGGAGGTCTTATAACGTTAAACATCGGAGAAAAATATAATAAAAGAATGTCACGCTGCTTAAATTTTTCTTCTTTTAAGTAAGTTAACGGAGAGCAACTAGTTGGTAAAAGAGTATGATCCTCTCCTTACTGATTAGGGTTCGAATCTCTAAATACTTAAGTGGAAGTCCGACGGTTTAGGTGGATCGACTAACTCCTCTCAGTTTGGCTTGTAAGAGTGGATCCTGAATAAGGTCCTGTCTTGCGGGTGTTTCAGGTAAAAAAAAAAAAAAAAAACAAAACAAAAAACAAAAAAAAACTAGCTTAGTGGTTTAGATTTTGTAAGGCTACTAATCTGGTCAAAAGTTAAAGTCCTTTCACATTCCCTTTTTCTCACTCTATCCCAACCCAATTTACCTAGGCTAGTCAATATAAGTTGTTAACCCCTTCCCATTTCTCTTTCCTTTCCCACCCAACCCAACCCAACCCAACCCAACCCTATCCAATTTCCTTAGATTAGTCAATATAAATTGTTAGCAGATATAGATAGATGGCCAAGGTTGTTGAAAATCAAAGTTTAAATTTTAAAAATTAGAAACACAATTTAATTTCATAAAGATTAGATCTTGGGAGTTTTTGCAATTTTCCCTATGAAAAAATTAGGGAAATTATAAAAAAGAAAAGCCTCAGAGTTTGACGATTTTATAAAAATAAAATCTTGAGTTTTTAATTTTATTAATTTAAACCCTAAACTTTTAATTTGTTTTCAATTTATACCATTTTCTGATTTTCATTAAGTAAAATCCACCGAAAAATAGTATTTTAGGCATTAATTTTAATGAAAAATGGTATTTTGGACATTTACTATATTGAGTTTAATGACTAAAATACTATTTCTCTTTTATCGATTTTACTTAACGGAAATAGGGTAATGGTTTAGATTGTAAATAAATTTTTTTAAAAAAATTAGGATTTAAACTAACAAAATAAAAAACTAAGGGTTTATTTTGTTACAAGAGTCAAATTTTAGATTTTTTTTTTTGGTGGTAATTTTCCAAAAAAATTGATAATCATGTCATACACGACCAAGCTCCGTATGATCGTAGAAGTTCCAACCAATAAGAACCCCAATAAACCTAAAAAAATGATACAGACCCAAAAAAATTACTTGTTTTTCAAGACCTCTTTATAAGTTCTATCCATACATGTTTAGATCGCCAACTCATACTTGATTTCATTTTATTGGAATTGAAAAACCCAAATGAATGTGGCTTTACTATTATTGTTGAATCAAAACCTCAATCATGACATTTCTTCTCTCTCACTGCACATCTCAGAACGCTTTCACATCTTTTTAATTCGAAATGACTTGAGAGAGAAAATGTTCATTTTTTTAGGGTACTTCCCAGAATAGATTCAATGGAGACAGTGTAGAGCCTATAGCTCAAAAGATTAAGATATGTGGTCATGTAATATCAATCAAACAACTTTAATGTTAGATCATATAATAGTCATCATGACATGAAATTCTCTACATGATAAAATGGAGATCACAAACACTAACGGTAATAGCTCAATTGGGTAGGACACCTCATTTACATGCGTGCCAAAGCTTTTTAGGGGAGTCCATCATGCAAACCAAACATGAAACTTTAGTTTAATTTGACTCCTTTATAGTGAATTTTGACTATTAGACAATGAAATTTCACTATTTTTATTTTAAAGAAAGTGAAAATTTCAATTGGGGATAAAACTTGCAAAATCAAGAGAAAAAACTAATACCTAGTTTAAGGCTAAAACCTCTAATTCATGCCCCAAAAATGATAACTTCTAAAGGTTTCTCTATTCTAAAGCCAAAAATGTGTTCTAATTGAAAATTTTCTCTATTTTCATTTTGGCATGAAAAGAAAAAAAAATACAAATATACTTTTTTGAAAAAAAAAATAAAATCAAATACCGACTATGCAAAATACTCATTCAAATGCAAAACAATCACCTCACAATAAAACTATGAACAACTTATAATCAGCAGGTCTCAAAAGCAATACAATGATTTACACCTAATTAAGGACGCTATCACAATGCAGGGACAATAGTTCCAATGGAAAGTATTGTTGTTAAGAAGTCACTCTGTTTCTTTATGCATGAATTGTTAAGTAACTGAAGTTGTTAACATGCTTTCTTCTTTGCAAGCTGGAGAAAAAAATCAATGTGAGATGATCCAAAATAGCTTCCATTCAAGTCTTCTAGAAAAGAGTTTCAATAACCTTCCACTACCATTGCTATACACTCGCCTTTCAAAACAACCCAACTGTCTCAACTACAAAAAACTAACTCTAATCGAGAAGTAGACAAAGAACAAAAGCAAACTAGGTAATTAACCAAACCATTAACCATGTCAGAACTGACTAAACAATACAAGTTTACTGTTCCTTAGTTCAAACAATAAAAAACTGATAAAAACTTATCAGGAAACCTATCAAGAATTCACAATGATTTCATGTTATAATGCGATTTGCACTTCCATCATTTAGAACACCCTCTATCAGCTCATACTTCTCATAATTCGCCTTCAGAGTCTCCGCCTGTTGGTTTGCAAGCTTCTCTTCTTGTGCTAGTTGAACTTGAGACAAAAAATACTAAATTATTAAATACAAGAAATAAAAATCACAGGTTACTTTTTTCGGGGGGGTAAATTACGCTTCTTTTTATTTTTTGATAACTCGGAATCCGGCCCATTGAACTGATAAATCTGAAGGACCAATCCGACCATCCACTTGCGGGGGTCCTGATTAAACCAAGGGCTTTGCCCTGTATGGGCCGACCTTAATAAATTTATTTGCACCTAGAAGGTTTCGAACCCGAGATCTTGGAGGAAGCACACTCTCGGCCCCAAGCCTTGACCACGGGGCCAACCCCTTGAGGTTAGGTAAATTACACTTTTGATCTAAGTTTGATTTTACTCGATATTGCTTGAACAATTTGGTCCCTATACCTTTCAACCTAGTTTCAATTTGGTCCTTCTATTTAAATTGGATGTTGAAATTGGCAATTTTGTTACACATGTCACTCTCCTAAGATGTACATGTAGAAGAAATTGACAGTCATTTGGATAGAATGATCAAATTGAAACTGCCCTTAAAGTGTAGCGACGAAATTGTTCAAATTCAAACAATAAGAACCAAAGTGAAATTTTAGTCAAATTATAGGTGAAAAGTGTAATTTATCCTTTTGTTTTTAGACAGCAACATAGCAAATTGTATTGTGAAAGTGGCAGGGAGGCACAACCCATAGACAACCAAACAAAAAGGAAAAAAAAAAAATAACAGAAAGGTTTCCACATAAAATAAGATACACAGTGGATATTAAAGATATGCTAGAATTCACCTTGAGCACAAATGAAGATTCTGCTGCATGTTTCTTGGTCAGAAGCTTAAGTTCCTTCGCCACTTTAAAATCAGGGTCTTGTGGGTCCAAGCAACGAAATTTTATCTTTCTCCCAGGCTTTCTTTTGTGGTCATCAAACATCTCCATTTCAGCAGCACGAGCCCGGATAGGCCTTGGCATCCCAGACATCATGAATGGGAAATTACCCATCTCCGACACAATTTGTTTGGCCTGCTTTGAATTTTCTATCTCCACAAAAGCACAACGTGGTATGCTCCTCGACTCTGTGTAATTTGGAATGAACTGAACTTTCTCAACATTCCCAAATTGATTGAGTGATGTTCTCAGCACAGCTTTAGTGACCTAAGGTGAGAGGTTGTCAATGTAAACATTCCTCCTAACCTTTTTCTTGAATGCAGTATACTCTGCTTCCTCTGAATCCATGAAGAAGTAACTATAGGACTGAGTCAGAAACAACTCTCAGTATAACCACTTAACAGATTTACATCATTATCCACTTACAACGAGACACGTAAAAGATTGAACAACACACATTTGTATGCTGCTGTGAGTGAACATATGACAAAGCAATACACTAATAGAAGCATGAGAAATGCATATCGTCCAAAGTTAATAGAATCTCCACCTTTTGTGTTGAATATTGGCTCAGATTTGTTTTTGTCAACAATGGCTGCTTTGTTTGTCAACAAAGGCTGCTGATTGAAGAGCTTGGTTCTCCCATTGCATCTATAAATAGGTAGTGAATAGGATGACTTCAGTGTGGTGAGTTGAAGAGAGAATACAGAGAGAGAGAATTATCAGAGTGTGTTTCCATTGTAATTCTTTCATTTCTCTCCATATAGCGAAATCCACTGCCCGTGGACGTAGGCGACTTGCCGAACCACGTTAAAACTCTTGTGTTATTGCTTGTTTGTGTTTCCTGGTGTGCCCTCGATTCCCAACAATTGGTATCAGAGCCCGGGCAGTGAAAAATCAAATTTTTTCTGAAAGTGCCCAGATTTCAAAGTGACTGAAATCTTGTTTTGAGCATACCAGGACGAAGCCCATGAGAAGAGGAGTCCAGAACAGCAAAGTCTAGCCCCAGATGAGTAGGAACGCGCTCTCACGCGCCCTCTGAAGTAGGAGAGTGAAGCCCACTCTCACCACGCGCTTCACGCGCTGTTACAGCAACCGGCGAGTCAGTCAACGTGCAGCCACGTGCCCTCACACATGGCCAGAGGAAGAAGGTGAGTGACGCACGCGTGGGAGTGACGTCATCTCCACGTCACGCGCCAACTCAGTGCATACGTGGTGCCAAGTCAGCTCCACGCCATCTGGTAGGCCACACGTCAGCCGCCACGTCAGCCAGGTTGACACGTCAGGCTGACGTTATTCTGAGCCGAGCCGAGTCGAAGGAGCCGTTGACCGTTGCTGACCAAGCCGCATCGGAGTCGAGCCGTTAGGCCGCGCCACTGAGCCGAGCCATAAGCCGAGCCGTTGACCAAGCCGTTGACCAGCGAGTCAAGCTGTGCCGCTAAACTGCGCCACTGAGCCACGCCGCGCCGTTGACCTTGCCGTTGACCGCGCCAATTTACTAGCCGTGGCAGAGTAATTATCTGGTGCATCTTAGACGCACTAGATTCGGCAGATCTGAACCATCCACACTATTTTTGCTAGATCTGAGTTATTCAGAGTCCGTTTCTGACGATCCAATAGTACTTTCTAACTATTTGGAGTATTCTAGACACATCTGTATGGTCAGAATTTTGAATCAGAGTTTCTAAAAAAAAAAATAGTCTAATGGCAGAATCTACACAGACGAGATCAACCGAGTCCATAAGTAATCCAGCGACTACAAGCAACTCTAGGCATTGGACCCCGGTGTCCCATGCTAAGTTCGAGGTAGAAAAGTTTGATGGTAGCAGCAACTTCGGCATGTGGAGATACGAAGTTAAAGGTATGCTTGTCCAGATGAACCTGCACTTCACTCTGGGAGACAAACCAGATGACCTGGACGGGATAGAATGGGAGAAAGTGAATCTCCTGGCCTGCAGTTCCATCCGACTTTGCCTTGCAAAAGAGGAGAAATAAGCCTTCACAGAATATGATATTGCGAAGGACCTTTGGAAGGCATTGGAAAACAATTTAATGACAAAGAGCATTGAGAACCAGCTCTACTTGAAGAAGAGGTTGTTTCGTTTCGACTATAAGAAAGGTATTTCGATGAGTGAACACCTAAACAATTTCAACAAAATTCTTACCGACTTGAAAAACTTGGATGATCACATTGGTGATGAAGATAAAGCACTGTTACTGTTGAATTCCTTGCCTGCCTCATATGATCAGCTCACCACCACTTTACCGTATGGTAAAGAAAAGATCAAGTATGTTGATGTTGCAAACACCTTGGTAAATAATGAGTTCAGAAGGAAAGATAAATCTGCAAACAGGGACTCAACATCCGAGGCATTGACAGTCAGAGGCAGGACGAATAACAGAAGATATACGGGGCGATGAAAGTCTCGCTCAAAATCCATAGGAAAATCATTAGATAGAAGATGTCTTGCAAAAGACGAGTATGCTGCTTGTCGCCAGAAGGGGCATTGGGCAAAAGATTGCCCTAATAAAGACCAAAAAGAGGAAAAGGTGAACGTTGCACGAGATGGAGATAATGGTGAAGGATCAGCCTTCACAGTTTCATCATATGGCCAGTCTGATGAATGGATTCTAGATTCTGGATGTTCCTACCACATGTGTCCTAACAAGCAGTTGTTCTCGAGCTTACGAGAGTTCGATGGAGGAGTTGTGCTGATGGGCAACGACCAAGCTTGCCAGACAAAGGGGATTGGAACAATTCGACTGAAGATACATGATGAAACAATCAGAAGTCTTGAAGATGTTCGGTATGTACCAGATTTGACAAAGAATCTCATCTTAGTGGGAGTTTTAGACTCCAAAGGTTATAGAGTAACTATGGAAGGTGGAGTCCTCAAAGTTGTTCGAGGAGCATTTGTTGCAATGAAGGGTACTCGACAAGGAAATTTATATTTCCTAGACGGCTCTACAGTCACAGGGAGAGTGGTTGTCTCCACCAGCTCCGAAGATAATGTATCAGACACTTCCAGACTTTGGCACATGCGCCTAGGGCATGTCAGTGAGAAGGCTTTACAAGGGTTGGTAAAGCAAGGCCTGTTGAAAGGCGCCAAAACAGGGAAGCTTGAGTTTTGCGAGCATTCTGTACTGGGCAAGCAAACAAGAATCAAGTTTGGTACTGCCATTTATCGTACCAAAAGGATTCTCGACTACGTTCACACCGATGTATGGGGTCCTTCCAAGAATGCTTCATTGGGAGGTAAACACTACTTTGTGTCGTTCATTGATGATTTCTCAAGAAGAGTTTGGGTTTACACAATGAAGCATAAAGATGAAGTATTAGAAATCTTTCTTATATGGAAGAAAATGATTGAGACCCAGACAGGCAGAAAAATCAAGAAGCTCAGATCCGACAATGGCGGGGAATACTGTAGACACCCCATTTTTGACCGACTTTCAGACTCAGATGTCACCGATTGAGCGCACGGTGATGGTGCAAATTGTGCTCGTTTAGAAATTTCAGAGTCTCGGCTGCAAGCCTTGCCTCCGGACTTCTGGGCTCTTTCGTGTCTTGCTTCGGTTTGCGAACCAGGCTCCGTTTTCTCTGTTTTCTCTTCCCGAAGGGAGGGAGAGGTCTCGTAGATCATCTCTCAGTGGCCGTAGGCTACGTTTCATGGTCGTAGGCCATTTTGCCCGTTTGGAGTCCGGTTTCCGGTTTTTCGGAGCCGTTGGCCGTGTGCCTCGGTTCGGGACGGCTTAACCACCTCCGTTTGCTCCGGTTTTTGGTATGCATCTTATTTGCTCCCTTTTGAGGGACACTGTGGCTCGAGAGACCAACTTCGTGGTCGAACACCACTTCCGGTGCCTAACAGTCAGTTTTCGGGGCCTCGGGCTGCGCGTTTCGGCCCCCAAACCTTCATTTTGCATCGGTTTGGGCTCATTTTTGGTGGAGACCTTATTTTCACTGCTAAGAAGGTCATAGAATGGTGGGAGGCTAGTAATTATTCTGACAACCAGTTTTATTCCTCCATCGCCCTCCATCGCTCGTTTTTTCCACTTGAAAGCCAATGTTGACCACCCTAAGGCCACTTTTTCTTGCCCCAAACCACATATTTGTGTTGTACACACCTGGGAGGCCACCAATATCACATGGCCGGCTAGTAATTGTGTTTGACCCTTTTGAACCCCTCCAAAAGTGGGCTTTTCTCTCTCCTGGTTTACTTTCTCCAGTTTTTGACCACATGGTTGTGTTGTGCACACATGAGAGGCCCTCTTTTTGGCATGGCCGGCCATTAATCTTCATTGACCCTTTTAACCCTTGGCTGACCAGCCATGGGGAAGGCCGACCAGCCACCTAAACCCTAGGAAACCGGCCGGCCATGATCCTCTCTCCAGGTACTTTAGAGAAATGCCCTCTGTTTCCCCCCAGATTTTATATCCGGGGGGGCCAACTTTTGGGGGGAAATTTGAATTCCATTCCCCCCCTTTTTCCCCCCTCTTTTATCTATATATCCAGGCCCTCTAGCTCCCATTTGAGGGGTTAGAAAGTTTGGTTTAAGCCTCCTACATTGTATCTCTCTCTCTCTACACTCTAACCCTCAAAACCTCTCAAATCCTACATCCATTCTACTCCATCTCCAAGCCAACCAATCCACACTCCATTCCAGTAGCTTCAAAGCCATTTCCAGAGGTCAAGGGCTCCCAAACTTGGTCCAAGAGTTGTTGAAGCATTGGTCTTCAAGGGTAAGTCTTCTATCCCTCTCTTTGGCCCTATTTTTGCTCAATATATTAGCTCCTCTTGCTTGCATATTTGGGCTCCGACCCTAACTGAAAATAGCATTATTTTGAGCTCATTTTCATGTTTGTTTAAGGGCCTCTTCCTGTTTGATGCTTCCTTTTTACACTTGTTTCTTTACCTCTTTTGTATGCCTCTTTCTTGCATAGTATTTTAGGCCTATTTTTAAACTGTTTTGAGCTTGGTTATAAACTGTAAAGTGGCTTATTTTGAGCCCTTATTAAACATTGTTGAAGGGATCTTCACTGTTTGAGGCTTCCTTTTGTCACTTGCCTCTTTATCCCTCTTTTGGCCTTATTTTTGCTTGCTTTGTTAGCGCCTT